GCCTTTTCACCCCCTTTGTAATATCACTTGATGAACTGAAATTCTCAGTTTTCATATGGCAACATTCCTATTTATAGTTGCCATTGTGAGTTGAGTAAGAAATCTGTACCTTTACTGAGGTTATAAAGGGCACATTTTCTTGTAAATGCTTTATAATTGTGCTTTTTACAATTAGGCATTGATTTTTTTATATGGTATGAAGTGGTGGTCCTGTTTTGTTCCTTTTCTTGGTATTCTATTTAGATGACCTAGTTGTCCTGGTCCCATTCATTAATCTTTGTACTTAACATTGTCGTCTTTATCAGTAAAGTGCATATTTTCTTGTAAATGCTTTATGACTGTGCTTTTTACACTTAGGCATTGATTTTTGTATATGGTATGAAGTGGTGGTCCAGTTTTGTTCCTTTTTTTTGGTATTCTATTTAGATGACCCAGTTGTCCTGGTTCCATTCAATAATCTTTATACTTACATTGTCATCTTTATCAAGAATCAAGCATCATTATATGAGATCTGTGTAACCTTTGTACTAAAACTTCACTAAGGCAGTAGAACCAGAAATTACAAGTCACTCACTCATGAATGCATATGCAAGAATCCTAATAAAAATATTGGAAAACTAAGCCAGTCACAGTGGCTCATGCCTATAATTGCAACGCTTTGGGAGGTCAAGTTGTGTGGATCACTTTAGGCCAGGAGTTCGAGACCAGCTTGAGCAACATGGGGAAACCCTATCTCTACTAAAACTACAAAAATTAGTTCAGCCTGGTGGCACATGCCTGTAATCCCAGCTACTTGGGAGGCTAAGGCAGGAGAATCTCTTGAACCCTGTAAGTGGAGGTTACAGTGAGCTGAGATCATGCCACTGCACTCCAGCCTGGGTGACAGAGCAAGACTGTCTCAAAAAAAAGAAAGAAAATAGAAAAACTGAATAATATATTGAGAAGTAAAGTTTATTCTAGGAATGCAAAGTTGGTTAAATATGAGAAAATCAGAAAAATCTATTGAGATCATCTCAAGAGATGCAGTATAAAAGTCTGATAAAATTTAGTATCCATTCAATATACCTATGTATTTAAACTGTTAGCAAACTTGAGTTAGAAAGCAATGTCTTAATATGATAAAGAGGAGGGGTTTCCAATCCCCAGGATGTGATGAGTACCTCTTGGTGTCCTGTTAGAAACTGGGCCACACAACAGGAGGTGAGCAGTGGGTGAGTCCTGAGCTCTGCCTCCTGTCAGATCAACAAGAGCATTAAATTTTCATGAGAGTGAGAATGCTATTGTGAACTGCATATGCCAGGGATCTAGGTTGTGCGTTCCTTACAAGAATCTAATAGGTGATGATCTGAAGTGGCGGTTTCATCCTGAAACTATCTCCCATCCCCAGGTCCATGGAAAGATCGTCTTCCACTAAACTGGTTCCTGGTGCCATGAAGGTTGGGGATTACTGATACAGAGTATCTACAAAAACAAAACCTATAGCCAGTATCTAGATGAAGCATTGAAAGCATTCTAAGTTCAGGAATAGGACAAGGATACCTTTCATCACCTCTTCTATCCAACACCATAAAGGAGATCTTAGCCAATGTGCTAATATAAAAACAAAAGTATAAGAATTGGATATGAAGAAACAAAACTGTTTTTATGATGTTTAATACAGATATTAGAAAGAAGCTATAAATATATTACAGTATTAAAAGTACCAAGATGCTGAGTACATAATTAATCAGAGTTTATTATTATTTTTTGTTTGTTTGAGACAGGGTCTTGCTCTGTGCAAGCTGGAGTACAGTGGTAAAATCATGTCTCACTGCAGCCTTGAACTCCCAGGCCCAACTGATCCTTCCCCCTTGTCTCTAGAATAGCTGGGCCACAGGCGCATGCCACCATGCCTGGCTAGTTTGTTTATTTTTAGTAGAGACAAGTTCTTCTTCCTGTGTTGCCTAGGCTGGTCTTGAACTCCTGGGCTCAAGCAGTCCTCCTGTCTTGGCCTCTCAAAGTGCTGGTATTGTAAGTGTGAGCTGCCACAACTGGCTTATTGTCAATATTTTTAACCTCCTCCCAGACAATGCAAGGACATTAAGTCACTTTAAATGGAAAATTCACGCTGGGGATGAACATCCCCCAGTAAATGTTGGCTATGAATCATGGGTCAGCTGTTTGAATTTCTTACTCCCCACTGCCTTCTGACTTTGATCATTATCTCCTTGCCATATATTTCTCAGGTATCTTTTGTTTTATTGTTTTCTGCAATCACTTATGCAAAGAATAAATCTGTAAAAACTATTAATGACCACCAGGATTTGAACTGTCCCCTACAAAGCTTGTTAATAATTTATTCATAGAAGCCTCATCTGATTTATCTTTTTTATGTCATTTTTCAAAAATGATTGAGTTCTTCTCAATGAACTGGTTGTTTTTTCCCTTGTCCTTTCTTTCCTCTCATTGATTTTTTTTTTCCTTTCTATATTAAAAACATTGGGCGGGCTCCATACTTGTTAACTGAACCAGTCAATCAGATCGTGCCTCCTGAATATTCTCTTGGCCTCCTAATAGATTACATAAAGTACTTGAGAATGGGGAGTTGCTAATTTCTACATACATTGTCACCTATGTTCATAGCATTACATTATATTGTTATCATAAAGCCAATTTAAGTTCATTTGTACTCCTAGCATGCCTGCTCCTTCAGAAGGACTGTTTTCTTTATATGTGGAGAAGAGAGTACGGCAGTTACCCTTCTTAGGGAAGGTATGCTGCAATCCTGCTTTTACTCACTGCGGCAGATTGGTTGTCATACCACCTGGAAGAATTTCTTAACGGCCATTTGGGGATCAATCATCAATCCAGTTATCCCTTCTACTCAGTAGTATATAAAATAAGTGGTGTGTTTCCCGGATAATTTATGCCAGTAGTAAATGTTGAGAGTGTTTGCTGATAGTGAATCTCCAGGCTTTTCTGGTATTTCTCTGTAAAATCATGTCTTGTCTTTTTTACTGAATACTCGGAGAACATAGTCGTCCCCTAAACTTGTCCACTAGCTGCATTGTCTTTGTGGCAACTCATAGTTTTATGTTCATTACTTTCCTAGTGAATACTTCATCTTTCCAGGTAGACATAAAAGCATAAAAACGTCTTTCAGTGAGAGGAAAAACTGTTTCTCTTGCCATTATTCCCTCTTTGAAAGGACTGATATTTATTAGAAACTCTAGTAACAGCTAGAGAATGGGATTTTTCACTATCTTCTCTTCTGTGTACTATTCCCTATCAGCCCACTAGCTAGTTCTCTAAATCTTGCCATTTCATACCAAGGTTAGGTAGGCAAACATCCTAGGATTCAATCCTCTGCCAATTTTTTTAAAATTCCTTTTTCTTGCTAGAAAAATTTCCTTAGCCTTTGTGATTTATGGGTATAACAGAGAGTCCTGCACACAGCACTATTCTGAGCTAACTTAATTTCAAGTCAGACTCACGTGAACTTAATTACCCAGTATTCCCGAGAGATTACCCAGCTTTAAATTTTATTAATAATTTCAAAGGTATAGGCAATCAGGAGACTTAGAAGAAGTAGAGATTAATCTGGCACATAGAGCAAGGCTTCTTACTGTGTGAGTTGATAACCTATGCACCCCATTTGAAGACCTTTTCTACTCTGAGCCAGAGATTATGTAGTCATTTAGGGAAGGAAGGACTGAAGCAGCTGCTTTTAATATCCCAAATCTCTTAGTCTGTACCTCTTGATTCCCTGTATTTTAAAAATTATTTGTAAAGCTTGACACTGGGTGAGATCTCTGGTTCATGTGAGTTAGATTTGACATCTGATCTTATGTATTCATTCACCCACACATGTTCATTTTTCTCATTCCTTCCTTTTTCCCTGACCATCTAGGACCAGTTTTCTTTTTCTGAACTAATTTTTTAATATTTCCTTCATTGTCTATTTATGTCAGTAGTGAAACAGAATATTGTCTCTTGGTCTGAAATGTATTTTGCCTATATTCTTGGAGATACTTTTCTCTACATAGAGAATTCTATATTGGCAGTATATTGTTGTAGGATAGGAGTTGGTAAACCTCAGTCCATGGGCCAGCTACCTGTTTTTGTAAGTAAAGCTAGAATACGTCTGGGCCTTTTTGTTTACGTATTGTCTATTGCCTCTTTCACGCAGTAATAGCAGTTGAATAGTTGCAATAGAGATCATATGTCCTGCAAATCTAAAATATTTTTACCTTGGCAGTTTAAGAAAAAGTTGTTTCATATTACAAAAGAACGGGATGTTGAAAATATGTGCTAATCTTATGATCAAGCACATAAAAATATCTAATGAATGCCACTGGTCAAGGTTAAATAATTTTTGATAGTGATAGGATCTCAGGTTTTGCATGACACTTCATGTTTTGTTGTTGATGATAATGTCGTTATTGTTTATAGATACCTGTATAACTTTCACAAGCATTTGATCCTAATAGCCTGTGAAGTATATCGGGTCAGTATTGTCATTCTCTTTTGCACATGAGCAGTACAGGCTCAATGAAATTACTTAAAATTTGGTGAAGGTCCACATAGCTAACAAATGCTAGGGTATCTGGGGATTAAACTAAGGGCTTGGGGCTTCACATTCTCTCATCCCTGTGACCGACACACTGCTTCCCTTTAAACCATACTTTTGTATGTCTTATATGTCTATCTTTACCACCTTGTGGTTTTTTGTTTTTAAGACACGTGATTTCATTGACATGTTATTCTTGATAAAGTTTGGATTTCTTTTTAGACTCAAGTTTTAAATATTGGTTTACTGTGTTGCCATATTAACCAGAAACATTCTTGGGCATTCATGGAGTAAACATAAAATAATTATATTATCTAAAGGACAACTAAACTTTGATTGAACATACTTTTTTGTCCTACAAAACAATATGAGTTGTTGGCAAAAAATTATGTAATTTGACTAACTTTCGGAATCTGTTTAACCTAATCTAATTCATTGTGATAATTTTCAGACTAAATCAACTTGAAGATACTATTACACTAATTAAAGGAAAGATCGAAGAAGTTCATCTTCCTGTAGAAAAAGTGGATGTTATTATATCTGAGTGGATGGTGAGTGTTTACAGAAAAAGACTACTTTCATTGGTGAAATGAAAAAATATTTTTTAAGTAATGAATAAGATAATAGTTTTTCTGAATTTAATTATATTTGATACATGGCAGAATGGGGACATTATTTTTTAAATAGCTACATTAGATGCTGTAATGTATAATTTTTAAAAATAGCTACAGTCTTCTTATGGCAGTTTATTCTGAAATGGTGCTTATTGGCTATTCATAATTTTTTAAAAGTGATAAATTATCTTTTTTACCTTAAAAATCATAATAAATTATTTTTCTACTCTATTACAATAATAAAAGTAACAATATACTGAATACCTAATTAATCAGAGTTTATTATTATTTTTTGTTTGGTTGGTTTTAGATGCCTAAGTGTTTGCAGAAAAGGTTTAGATACCTAAGTGTTTGCCCAAAAGCCTCGCCTCCAAGGACTAATAAGGACTTATTAGGACTGTTTCATCAAAATTAACATTCTGTTGCCACTATTATCATACTGAATGTCCTGTCTTTCTAATCTATTGGGCCATGTAATCAATGTCCGTTATCAAATAAAATAGAATTTATTGCTGTTATTAAAATACTAAAAGGAAGGTATATCACGTAGCTTTATAATTTGCTGTTAAAATCTTGAGTCAAGACAGAATATTTATGTTTAAATATATGGGAAAATAAAATTAATGGATGCTGGTTATGGTAGCTCACACTTGTAATCCCAGCACTTTGGCAGGCTGAGGCAGGTGGGTCACTTGAGGTCAGGAGCTCAAGACCAGCCTGGACAACATGATGAAAGCCCATCTCTACTAAAAATACAAAAATTAGCTGGATGTGGTTGCAGGCACCTGTAATCTTAGCTACTCGGGAGGCTGAAGGAGGAGAATGGCTTGAACCCGGGAGGTGGACGTTGCAGTGAGCCAAGATCACACCACTGTACTCCAGCCTGGGTGACAAGAGTGAGACCCAGTCTCAAACAAACAAAAATTAGTGGTATTTGACAGCTGATTTGATTTATTGATATGTCATTTGACAGAAATAAACTAGATAGTATTTCTAATAAAGATTTTTAAATTATTTTGAAATAATTTTTTTCTTAATATTCTATTTGGTAGATAATATTTTTATGAAATAAGTTTATCAAAAAAATTGAAAATGAATTTTGTTTATAATTTTTTAAATAAATTTTGAATGAATAGTTATAATCCTAGCAAAACAGACATTTCAAGGAACTTTTGGAGTATTCAGATTTAATGCAGTAGCATAGGGAGTTCCAGTCTAGAGCTGATGACAGTCACAATTGTTGACGGCTACTATTTTGTATGTGAAACAGTATGTTTTTTTTTTAATGCTGAGATTCATTTCATACAATCTTTAGTCATATCAGTATTCTCACACCAAAGAATTTGTATCAGGACTCTGATTTCTCATTAATTGAAGTAGTAGATATGAATTAAAATTTTAACATTTCTTTAAAGACTATGAAAAGATGCTTCTGAGAAAGCACATTGAGGCATATATGACAAGAATTTTAAATAGTTTATGTCATATATTTTACTTTTCTTGGAAAATGCATCTTTTAAATTACTCCAACATAGATTTTATAGGCAAACTAAAAGAAAGACTTGTCTAAACTTTCTGTTACCTCAGTTGAACATTATTACATATCTGATTACAATAAGTAATGGGATAGTTCTTGCTCTGCCTAGCAGAATCTGGATATTGATGTTCTAGGATTTTTCACTTCCAAATCTGAAAGATGATCTAGAGTTATTAATATGCAATTGATTTCCTAGACCCAGCTGGTATAATAACTGCAATTAGCTATATTGAATGAATTCATGAGATTGTCTTTATGATGTGAGCTTTATTGAAAGTTGTACTGGTCTTGGGCTTGTTTGCCCTCAAATCCCTTTTGTACCCTTCTGCTTTCTTCTGTGCTAAGGAGGGCTAACCCCGCAGGCTGCCTTTCCCAGGCTCCAGTGATGGCTGACTTCTACTGAGTTTGGAGAATCTAATAGGAAACACTGGAAACTCTAAATATCCCAAGATTCAAGAAAAGGAGAAGCCAGGGCATTTCTTCCCTTCTTACTTTATCTCTAGTGTATTGCTGACAAAAGCTGTTTCTTTTGTGCTTCCAATTCCCACTGGACAGGCATGCTGAAATTCCAGCATCCACTATGTAACCTTAGCCCTGGGTTCTTGTAGCAGTAGCCTAGGAATGCCAGCTACTTCTGGGCGTTACTAAAGTCTTGTTGTGTCACTCTCTTCTTGATGACTTCTCTTATCTTTTATCCTTTGTACAAGTGACTTTTGACATTATTTTCCTCTATTTTAAATAGCTTGTGTGGTTTCTCTTTTTTTAGTTTGTATTCATAACTCAACAGTCCCCAGACTTCTTGGCACCAGGCACCAGTTTCATGGAAGACAGTTTTCCCATGGACTGGGGGGTGGGGATGGGATGGTTTTGGAATAAAACTGTTCTATCTCACATCATTAGATTCTCATAAGGAGCATGTAACCTAGATCCCTCGCATGCGCAGTTCCAGCAGGGTTCACGCTCCTTTGAGAACCTGATACCACTGCTGATCTGACAGGAGGCGGAGCTCAGGTGGTAATGCTTGCCTGCCACTCACCTCCTGCCGTGCAGCCCAGTTTCTAACAGGCCACGGACCAGTACCTGTCCATGGCCTGGGATCTGGGGACCCCTCATCATACTGAAATAAAGGGCACCTTTCACTTTAGAGCATTGGTCGGGTAAGACCTCTGCCTTTATCAGGAAGCCAGTCACTGGAGCTTGAGATGAAAGGAGCCTGTTGTTCAGAAGCCAAGGTGCTTGGAAACCCTGAAGTAATGAAAAACAAAACAGTGTGTCCAGGAAGTGATAAATAGGAACTTTTCTTCTTCCTCACCACAAAGGTGTAACTTAAGCATTTGCATTATCACACTGTCTGCCTTTCCTTGTTTTAAGTGAGTTGAAGTCTAGCAATTGTTTTAAGTGTTCTAGGTGGGACATTGGACACTGTAAGTTAACAGCAGTTATTCTGTGGCAGTCAGCTCTGTATGGCCTTATTTCTCTAATAAAATTTGCATTTAAGGCGCCAAGAAGGCTTGTGCTAAATTATTTTTAATCATCTTTGTAGATTGGAAATAACATTTATGGTATCTTCTTAATCCTATAAGTCCCTAACTTTATTTGGTACTTTCATTAGGATTTTTGATTTGAGAAGCTGGAAAACATTAGTTACATAATTAAACAAGGGGCAGGTATGCTTTTAAAATTTATTCTCCACGTTTCAGTCACATTGGCTGAAACAGTAGGCAAATGGTAAACAGCTATTTTAAATCTATAGCCACATTTTCGTAAACCAGCATTTTAAACTTAAATTGCGCAGACTCCTGTCTTTATTTATTTATCTTTTTTTTTACGTATAACATAATAAGGGTGCAAAAATCTAGAATGAACCATGGTTAAGCATTTTTTTCTCTGTTTTTACAAGTATTTCCAACAAGGAAAGACAAAAATGGAATATACTCCAGAATTGGGCCCAGATGTTTAATGGACGTGTAATCCGTTATAGCAGTGTAGGCATCATATATCGCAGAGATGTACATCTGTTTTCTTTTACTGTGGTCCACTAACTATTCCGTGGCTTAATCTAAATATGATTTCTGTCTGCACCTGTTCAGGATTTTTGTCTTTATTTTGAAAGATTTTTCTGGATAAGTATAGTCTTTGTGCTGTATATTTTTATTTTTATCAGATGGAATTTCTGTTTGACAAAATTGTTTCAGTTAAATGTAAACAGTTTAATCCCTGGAAGACGTTAATACCTATGTCTTTATGTATGTGTCCTCATTTTTTCCTCTTTAGTCTCCCAATAGAAGTTGTTTTGAGAGCTGTTCTTTATGGCTTCTTGTTTCTGACTGCTTATTAAACTGTTCAAAATAACCATCCCTAATTCTGACCCAGTAAGCGAAATTGACTCACGTGGTGTTGCTGTACATCCTCTGTGTTTTCAGCATGACTTTGCAAGAACATAGACTAAATCCACGAGGCTTAGCATTAGTAAATGATGACAGAATGTGAATTTTAGGGGAATATTCCCAGACAGAAATTTGCTGGCCACAGACGTTTATAATTTTATGCACAGCACATGAAGGCACGGAGGTAGTATATGACAGGGTTAAGAATGTTGCTCCAAAGGCAAACTGCCTCCATTCTTCGGAATGTTACCTCTCTGTGCCTCGATTTCCTTCTCTATAAAATGAAAATAATAGCATTACCTACTTCATAAGATTTTTGTGAGGATTAAATGAGTTAATATGTGTAAATTTCTTAGAACAGTTTCTGACACATAAGATCTCAATAATTAGCTATTCAGTTTCTAAAGTTACACAAACTTTTGAGTACTCTGTAACTCACGAGAGCTGCTACTACGCTAATTCAATAAATAACAGATGAAAGTAATCATTTACATGAAGTAAAGGATATTAATTTTTGGAGGAAGAACATTCTTAGGGCTTCTCCCTTGCTTACAGCCCTTTGTAAAAGCAGAAGACTTTCTCTTTGTATGACTAGCATTTACTAATTGACTGTCCGTGGTTGGTATGCAGAAGTATGAAAATTAGCTGATGAATGTGAGTTATTGGGATTTGGGGTATTAAACAGGGAGATACAGTACTTGAACAATGAAAGAAAAATTGTGGTTTGTATTTTTTCATAGATATGCTAACATCTGAATCAAGAAAGCAAAGAGACTAGAAATCTAAAGAATAGGTCCTTTGTGTATAATTATTTCAGTCTTACAATCTTTTGTTCTTGTCTATCTATGCTCTTAACCACTTCCTAGCCTTTCTTTTCTTCAGTCTTCAATAAGTTATAAAGTATTATAATTATGAAGATTAAAAGTTTAAGTTATTCAGGAACATGAATCAACTGCCCTTACAAAAATTTTTCAGGTAAGCCCTCAAGAGAACACAAAATATTGGTTAATTTT